TATAAATATTGATAATGTAATATTTAGCTTTAATTACAAATATAAAATATTTATCTATAAATATTGATAATGTAATATTTAACTTTAATTACAAATATAAAATATTTATCTATAAATATTGAGAATGTAATATTTAACTTTAATTACAAATATAAAATATTTATCTATAAATATTGATAATGTAATATTTAACTTTAATAACAAATATAAAATATTTATCTATAAATATTGATAATGTAATATTTAACTTTAATTACAAATATAAAATATTTATCTATAAATATTGATAATGTAATATTTAACTTTAATTACAAATATAAAATAGTTATCTATAAATATTGATTATGTAATATTTAACTTTAATTACAAATATAAAATATTTATTTATAAATATTGATAATGTAATATTTAACTTTAATTACAAATATAAAATATTTATCTATAAATATTGATAATGTAATATTTAACTTTAATTACAAATATAAAATATTTATCTATAAATATTGATTATGTAATACTTAACTTTAATTACAAATCTAAAATATTTATCTATAAATACTGATAATGTAATATTTAACTTTAATTACAAATATAAAATATTTATTTATAAATATTGATAATGTAATATTTAACTTTAATTACAAATATAAAAATATAAAATTTAATTCCATATTTATTATGTAATATTTATATCTAATAACTTATATTAAATATTTATTTAATCTATAGCGAATTGAACACAATTAGTTATTTGTTCTTGCAATTAACCTGGTATCCACCGTAGTACTTCTTGTAAATGGTTATTTGCTATTTCGTAGTTATATGTTAAAGTGCAATAAACCACCCAGTCAAAAAACCCATGCAATCAAACTATTAGAGCATTTTAAGGTCAATCTTATATAATTAAATCACGAATTCGTTTACACTGTATCACGCAATTTGATTGGATAACAGGTTAAAGTGGACGATTTGGTTTAGCCTAGGGTTAGGCCGTTCTAGATTTCACAGACCTCTTTTATCTACTTAAAATGATAGAAGAGACGTGTTCGACTTGGAAAAAAAAGAATTTTTCAAAAAGCTTCAACTGGGACTCGAACCCGGGTCCTCAAAGATGCTAGGCAAGTGCGCAAACCACCGAGACATGGGGTTGGCGAGGTTTAAATCTAGGGTTAAGCTAGGGTTAACCCTAGTTTTGAAAAATCAATTAGGTTTAGCTCAGGAAAGGGTTAAAACTTGTTCCAAGATATGGTTTCCGCATATGAAATGAAAGAGCACTTCGTTGCGCACCAAATGTTCCGGAAAAAAAAATAATACGGGGGTTTAACTGGGCCCGAAGCAATTTATACCCCAGTGGCCCCAAAGGGTTTAAAGTGGACCATTTGGTTCAGCATAAGTTTAGTTCGTTCTAGATTTCAGAGACCTCTTTTGTCTACTTAAAATTATAGAAGAGATAGTTTTCGACTTGGCAAAAAAAAAGAATTTTTTAAAAAGCTTCAACTGGGACTCGAACCCGGGTCCTCAAAGATGCCAGACCACCGGGCGACTGAGACAAAGTGTTAGCGAGGTATTTGTCTACTTAAAATGATAGAAGAGGCGGTGGCAAAAAAATAATTTTTTAAAAAGCTTCAACTGGGACTCGAACTTCTGAAAATGTGACATAAGGTTTTTCCATATTTCATCAGTAGGGCAAGTTAAGTATTTATAAAGTTGAACTAATCTAAAATCTATACTATTAAGATTCATTCCACCCTCTGAATAGCTACCAGAAAACGTACTGGGTCTAATTAATGGGGCTTACCAAACCACACAGAATCCTTTATTACAGATGCAATCTTATTTAGGGCCCAAACTGGGATGTCAATGACTTAAGATATAGCATAACGTCGAAAGAGACAAAATATTTACAATAAGGCATTTTCCCTTTAAATTAATTGCCTTAGCTTCCACAGATTAAGAATTTTTTGAATCTTGGCCACTTTTGGCTCCCAGTTTAGTTCACATTTATGCTGATCAGGAGTAAACACTCAAGAATTTGGTACAATCGAAAATAACTTAAATTTACAGACGTCATCATCAGGGACTAATGCAGATCCAGCCAACATCAGTTCAGACTTACTAGTATTTATTTTAGCACCTGATTCAGAGCAGTAAGTTTCAACCGTACAAATGGTCTCATGGACAGATTGCAAATTCGAAACCGTTATCGTGGTATCATATGCATGTTGCGAAATAAGTGACGGTATATCATATCCAGGAACTTTGAACCCACAAATATTTGTGTTGGGTTTAATCAGAAGATTCAAAGCTTCTGCTGAGATAACATAAAGCAAGGCAGATATTGGACAACCTTGTCTGACTGATCGTGTAATTGGAAAGGACAATGATATATGACCATTAACTTTGGTACAACTCTTAATACCATTATAGAGGAGCTTGATACGACCAATAAAGACATTCCCAAACCTGGGCTTACTGTCGAGTTTTTTCTGCGGCTCTGGCCCTTGATTGGTGACATCTTAAGAATTATAGGCCAATAAGCCTTCTTAATGTTGACTACAAAATCCTCTCCCACTGTCTAGCATTACGCCTTAAGAATGTTGTATCATCAATAGTGTCATCTAATCAGACATCGTGTATACCAGACAGGGATATAGCTTTTAATGTTTGTGCAATAAGAGACGTATTGGATTATATCGACGTGGAAGATCTTCCTTTGTATCGATTCTCAGAAGGCCTTTGATAGGGTATCACATGATTATTTGTTCGATGTCATAAGATTAATGGGATTAATAAGTATATGAAAATCTTGTATAGAGATATCAAAAGTTGCGTGAAGGAAGGGTAATGGCCACATACCCCTGTCTTTTCCCGTGTTGAGATCTGTAAGGCAAGGGTGTCCCATTGCAGGTCTTCTATATGAATTGTCTGTTGAGCCACTTAACTCTTTGATGTTGTCCAATCCTGACATAAAAGGTATTCCTATCCCTTTATCTAAAGAAACATATATAATCTATCAATATGCTGATGATGTTACACTTACCCTTTCAGATCTCAATTCGGTTAACCAGGCTTTTACTAGTATAAAGAAGTACTGCAACTTCTGGAGCAAAGTTAAATGTTGATAAGTCTGAACTTGTGGTGGTAGCTGGTAGTGCAAATTGTACACTTGGAATGTAATCTTTGCCACTTAATGTATTACATGACAGCATTCTTATACTAGGTATCTATCTTGGTCCGAACAAATTAGAGTGTGAAAGATTGAATTGGAATAGCAAGATAACTTTAAAAGAGTACTTAATATGTGGTCTCGAAAACATTTGTCATTAGTTGGTAAGAGTATCGTCTTAAACACTCTATGTCTATCACTGTTATGGTATGCTCTCAGAATCATAAGAATACCAGCCTGGGCCTGTGATGAATTTGAATCTGCTATAAAATCTTTTCTTTGGTCCACTGGACCTTCCTTAATTAAGCAGTCAACACTTATTGGAAGCATAAAAGAAGGTGGTCTGAATGTTCCAACAATTGAGGCCAGGAGAGATTCTTTTAGATTGTGCCGGTTATCAAAATATTTTAACCCTGAAATAAAGTGTTACTGGAAGTATTTTATGACTCAAATGATATGATAATTTGCATCTCTCCTATGAATTTTTTTTTATGTATAAGTATAGTAAAAAGGCCTCGTCCCATTTACCTTCTTTCTACAGTGAGGTCTTAAGCGCTTGGAGCTGGGGCACAAGCGTTTTCTGAAGATTATCAGTTCATTATAAATCAGCCTTTGCTTTCTTATCCATTTGTAACGGTAGAAATCTCTGAAAGAATGGTAAATCATTTTAAGGCATCCGGTCTCGTTCGTCATAGAAATTGTTCGTGAATCAGTTCCTGGATCAAGAGGTGGGTTTATCTCTAAAGCATACGATACGATAAAAAGTGCTGTTCCTGAGTCCTGGCAACATACTATTAGTACAACTTATTTGCCCTTTTAGGATGTTGTTGATTTGTATTGTATTGTATCTTTTGATGACTCTGTTTTATCTGTCAGCAATTTTACATTTAAGGTTGGGTTTAAGCGTAGTTTTAACAAGTGGTTGCCTAGAAAGATATGCCTACTTTCCTGATACATTTGCAGTATATCAAGGCCAGTCACCTATCTGTGTCAAATTTGTGCAAGACATTGTTGATTTAAACAAACACACATAAACTGCCACCTCTATCGCTAACAATGAGCCCGAAACAATTTATACCCCAATGGCTCCAAAGGGGCTAAAGTTGACAGACCTCTTTTGTATACTTAAAATGATAGAAGAGACGGTGTTCGACCAAAAAAAAAGAATGTTTAAAAATGCTTCATCTGGGACTCGAACCCGGGTCCCCAAAGTTACAACTCTGCGCAAACCACTAGGTCACCGAGGCTTAGGGTTACGGAGGGTTAACCCTAGAATTAAGGTTGGGGTTAACCCTAGTTTTGTAAAATCAATTAGTGTTAGCTCAGGAAAGGGCTAAAGCTTGTTCCAAGATATGGTGTCCGCATATGAAATGAAAGAGCACTTCGTTGCGCATCTACTCAATACAAAATAGTCCGGAAAAAAGAATAACACAGGGGTTTATTGGAATTGCTAGAACCACAGACGCCTGATTGAAAATTTGAATAGTGCATTTTCATGCTATCAGTGTCCCTTATACGATGTCAATTTAGTAGTTTGAAGAATTTAATTAGAACAATATATTTAACTCTTTATTATTATGATAAATAAGTATATTGAAATACATATTTGCACAAACTATCAATAATATTATAATATTAATGTAACATTTCTGATCTAAAAATCGGCTGCATTTAGTTCTCACATGAAGTATAGTTATCAATCTTGTTTATCAATAATATTATAATAATGTAACTTTTCTGATCTAAAAATCGGCTGCATTTAGTTCTCACATGAAGTATAGTTATCAATCTTGTTTATCTTGTTATGTGTACAGTAGCTTCAACTGGTTTGTTATTATTGAGATGCATCTATTGAAACTCCCGACGTGTTATAATAGACAGATGAAGGGTGATTTGTGAAGTTTTCAGGATTTCTAGAACCTAAAAAATATCGAGAAAAATAACTATAATTATATAAATAATAAGTTACAATAATAAAATATTTTCACTGTTACTAAAGTGCTCAATACAATTGTACAACGATATAGAAAAATTAAATTATTCTTTAATATTTCTATATAATAATATTTGTAGGAAATGCACTGAGAGAAATAGAATCATAGAACTCCTCACTCAAACTTTTCGAAAGCATGTGACTCATTATACAACTTTTTCACAATGAAAGTTTCTGAACTTGTCACAGGTTTTGACCTACTTTTAATATTTAATATAATGGAAATAGATCATAGAATGTGTTTCAGCGCAAACACTACAGAACACTACGTTTGTCACAGGTTTTGACCTACTTCTAAAATTTACCTGAAGTTACCTCCCTTGAAAGAGGATTCAGTTTAAAAATACTACACTACGTTTGTCACAGGTTTTGACCTACTTCTAAAATTTACCTGAAGTTACCTCCCTTGAAAGAGGATTCAGTTTAAAAATACTGAGGGGAAAAATATGAGAGATATGGTGTGGTGCGATAACAACTTGATATTAATTTGTCTTGTCTTGAATTCATTCAACTAAGTCTTTATGATATCCACATTATTTTTGTGGCGTACCAGTATTGCTTTCTGAACGATTCGTAAGTTTAGCAAGTGGCGTTATAGCCCGATTTGCTTCCACGCTGATATGGCAGACTATTTATGCTATATACAGAAGGCAGATAGTGACTAAATATGTTGTCAATACTTTACCAAATATTTTGGGCAGTACAAACCTAAATCATCGTAAATATGAGCTGTTGTTGGTCCGTTACTTTCATAAACACTACAATTAAAATATAAATTTACCACAAACATTTAGCAAATTCTGGCAGATCCGTAACTACATCATGGTAAATATATTTTGTTTTAAAGATATAAATATGATATCGGCTAAATATATTGATATCTACAGTAAAAGTGGTAACTACCTGCCCAGAGAAAAGACCGTAGTTACGGCCCTGCAGGGTATTCGTTATTATTTAATTACTTTCAATAGATGCAAGAGTAATGTTTCACAGTTAACTCGAGATGATAATTTCATAGATCACAAAACGGAAACATTAATTAAATTTAGGATGTTTATACTCACTTGTTGTCTGTATGGTTTGTACCTGAATTAGAAAATAACATAATTCAACAATTTTAGGGAATCAGAAATGTCCTAATCATTATTTTCATCAGTAATATCAGCTCTGTCATGAGCTCGTTCGTGCTATCGACACGTTTTTCAAATACAATGCAACAGTAACAAACATCATGAAAGCTAGCTTTTGGAAATGTATGCCTATGAAAACAGTTAGCGAAACCACAAAGTGTTAATTTACTAAAGCTTAGAAACAACTTCAATATAACGGAAAATATTTTTAAAACATTTACCCTGAGATTTTCTGTATTTGATGAAAACAACAACAAATATGATCAAAATCACCACCAAAATGCTTATAACAACTGCTAAGATAATTATTGTTGTATCTTTATTATCGTGCCCTGAAACACAACCAAATAATCTTAAAGCAAATCAAGTAAGGATCAGCTCATTTCGATAGAAATTGATTTAGGTATATGACCACCATTGCTTTGACAGTAATTTTGCAAACTCCAAATGAGATAAACCGTGGATTTTGTAATGTAATGTAGCTTGTTTCATACACCCTATATTTAATGGGACAGGTGCGGCATTTGTTTTGACCAATCATACTTTAGTTTCAGAAACGGGAATTGTTTTTAGCCAAGCCAATCAATAACAGTGTCTACAGCTCACCGCAAAAATCCATGTGTGTCCAGAATTATCCGCTTTTGGATGTTAAGATACTCTGTGATATATAGAAATAGAGTGTAAATTCCCAGTGTGAAGTGTTCCTAAAGAAATTATGCGATTTTCATACAGTTCTAGTACTTCTAAAGACTACATATATTCAAGACTAAAATCAACCCCCCAAAATGCCCCACCTATGCCTTTTAAAACATACATAGCGATTTTGTGATTTCACCATACCGCTAACCTGTATCTTTATCATTATCTTTAGAAGCTTCTTTTATAAGAGTACAATCAGTTCCTTGATATCCAGCCAGACAATCACAGGCTCCATCTATCTTACTACATTGGTCTTCTGATTGACAAAATCTGGCTGAACAATTTGATGAACAATTATATCCATAGAATCCTTCATCACATTCTAGATATAGAACATATAGCATAAGTAATAATTTACAGGGACATTTTGAAAAATATTTATACATGTATCATAGTAGTAATGAAAAGTTGGACTAATGGTAAAAAAAATTTTAGGAGCATTATTGACTACAATAAAATATTTTCACAAGTAATGCTCAATACATTCATTGTAGAGCGATATAACAATACCACTGTTAAAATAGTGCTCAATACATTAGTTGTAGAGCGATATAAAAATACCACTGTTAAAATAGTGCACAATACATTAATTGTAGAGCGATATAGAAATACTACTGTTAAAATAGTGCTCAATACACCAATTGTAGAGATATATAGAAATACCACTGTTAAAATAGTGCACAATACATTAATTGTAGAGCGATATAGAAATACCACTGTTAAAAAAGTGCTCAATACATTAATTGTAAAGCGATATATAAATACCACTGTTAAAATAGTGCTCAATACATTAATTGTACAGCCATATAAAAATACCACTGTTAAAATAGTGCTCAATACATTAATTGCAGAGCGATATAGAAATACCACTGTTAATATAGTGCTCAATACATTAATTGTAGAGCGATATAAAAATACTACATAAATTGTAGAGCGATATAGAAATACTACTGTTAAAATAGTGCTAAATGCATTAATTGCAGAGCGATATAGAAATACCACTGTTGAAATAGTGCTAAATACATTAATTGTAGAGCGATATATAAATACCACTGTTAAAATAGTGCTCAATACATTAATTGTAGAGCGATATAAAAATACCACTGTTAAAATAGTGCTCAATACATTAATTGCAGAGCGATATAGAAATACCACTGTTAAAATAGTGCTCAATACTTTAATTGTAGAGTGATATAAAAATACTACTGTTAAAATAGTGCTCAATAAATTTATTGTAGAGCGATATAAAAATACCACTGTTAAAATAGTGCACAATACATAAATTGTAGAGCAATATAAAAATACCACTGATATAATAGTGCTCAATACATTAATTGCAGAGCGATATAGCAATACCACCGTTAAAATAGTGCTCAATACATTAAATGTAGAGCGATATAAAAATACCACTGTTAAAATAGTGTTCAATACACTAATTGCAGAGCGATATAGAAATACCACTGTTAAAATAGTGCTCAATACATTAATTGTAGAGCGATATGAAAATACCACTGTTAAAATAGTGCTCAATACATTAATTGTAGAGCGATATAAAAATACCACTGTTAAAATAGTGCTAAATACATTAATTGCAGAGCGATATAGAAATACCACTGTTAAAATAGTGCCCAATACATTAATTGTAGAGCGATATAAAAATACCACTGTTAAAATAGTGCACAATACATTAATTGCGTAGCGATATAGAAGTACCACTGTTAAGATAGTGTTCAATACATCAATATTATACAGAGATAGATATATAAATCTGACTATATATTTCCCGAAAGCATAGTAACGCTTTTAAAGTTTCTCATAACCTCAATCTCCAACTCAAGAAAACAGTACCTAGAGTACAATCAGTAAACTGAAAACCTGGTTGACATCCATCTATACATTCTCCTGTTTTACTGTCACAATTAGTATTGTCATCACATTTTCTATCTGAATATTTCTTACTGCAGCCTGCTCCATACAAACCAGTCTCACATTCTAAAAATACAGAAAACCGTTGCACCATGTACCATTAACATGTGCGATACACATTATTCCAGATGATGGTATCAACCTCGCAATGCATTGTACATGTATTGTGTTGTACTTGAATATCACCATTCAAAAGCAACGTCATAATCTGATTGTTTTCTACAATGTAGCATTTACTTGCTTTTAGGCAGACCACCGCTAAATATAGAATCTAAAAACTGATCTACTACGATATAGCAAATTATCAGTTTATCTTACCCATCTTCAGTCAATCAACCTTTAGCATTTTCAGTATATTAAAGTCGTTTTTCAATAAAAAATATCAAATTAAAGTTCTGTCAGAATTAACCTAGGTTACTCACCAATTCTACAATCAGCATCTCTTTACCCTGGTATACTAACCTATTGTACAATAATCGTCTCTATAACCTGGTTTATTTACCTACTGTACAATCATCCTCTCTATAACCTAGTTTACTTACCTACTGTACAATCATCTTCTATATAACCTAGTTTACTTACCTACTGTACAATCATCTTCTATATAACCGGGTTTACTTACCTACTGTACAATCATGTTCTCTATAACCTGATTTGCTTACCTACTGTACAATCATCTTCTCTATAACCTAGTTTACTTACCTACTGTACAATCATCTTCTCTTTAACCTAGTTTACTTACCTACTGTACATTTACCTACTGTACAATCATCTTCTATATAACCGGGTTTACTTACCTACTGTACAGTCATCTTCTATATAACCTAGTTTACTTACCTACTGTACAATCATCTTCTCTATAACCTGATTTGCTTACCTACTGTACAATCATCTTCTATATAACCGTGTTTACTTACTTACTGTGCAATCATCTTCTCTATAACCTGGTTTACAACCATCAGTACATTGGACTGTTATATGATTACATACGCTACTCGAACACCTTAGGGTATCTCTTAGAGGCATCAATATGGGTGATAACTGTCGACGAAATCGTAAGCTGCTTATTAGGAGTTTACAAATCTGTCGGCAAATGCTTTAACTAAGGACAAGACAGGGTTTATGTATGTGGGGAGAAGCACTTGCTGATCTTTAAACACTCAGTTTTTGCAGGATTGCTTGATTTTCACGGAAGCAAATTCTTGGGTTTTATGAATACATTGAAGACAGGTTCAGAAAACGTAAATGCTTAGTTTTATTAATCCGGTAGAAACATAGCATATATCTTACTGTAAATACCTTCAATGCACAGGATCATTTACAGAAATAAACAGGGATTTACCAACCTTGAATACAATCAATTCCTTGATATCCTGGTTTACAATCATTGATACATTCTCCTGTTACATGATTACAAGTAGAGATACCAGAACATTGTCTAGCATCACATCTCTTTTCACATTCTGCACCATATTTATTCATTGTCGTACAACCTGAAGAAAAATATTTTGAAGCGAATGAATATCGATGACATTCATTATTTTACACAGCTCTTTACGTATTTGATCAAATATCTATATTTAAGCCACTTTATACTTTAGTATAAAAGGCGTATAGAAGGCCCGGATTTATATAGGGCGATTTGTCCACTTTCCACTGTGAAAAGACAAAAATTGTTATGGTACTTCATGTATTAATAGGATTGTAAATAGGGTTACCAGCCTTTTTATGTGTATCTGGTACAACTTTGACTTCTATTTCAGAAAGAGTTAAAGGAAGGAATGGTTTGATATTTGTGCAATCATTTTTTTATGATAAAATGGCCACCCCCATTTGGTATATCGAGTAATACTACAACTATATAAGATGGAGTAAGGCAGCGGTGAAACTAAATGTGAATAAGTCGGCAACTTTTAGTTAGATATGCTGCCATCTTTTAAGGGGAGATAACAAAATATTATGTTATTGTAGTTGTTGGTACGATGGTTACGAATTTCCTTTCGGGAGCTGCGTCTTTTCCGGTTAACACGTTCTGGAACTGCAGGAACCACAGGAATCGGACGAAGAATTAGAATGCCCCACATAGAAGTCAAATATGTCCTCGATACTCATAAAAAGGCTAGACAACCTCTTTACAACCCCTATAAGGTAGTTCTGTTTTATGAATCTCACGGTTTTAATATACAGTGGTGTAACCTATTTTCGTGGATATAAGGATTCAAAACCGAATTTCGTCAAAGTTAAGAAAAAGAAAAAAAAAATTTATGTCTTAGATGTTTCCTTAGATATTCTACAAAATAATTGAAATTGGTTTATTTCGATTTTCTTTATGAATCCTTCACTTTTACCCATATTTCATGAGCAACCAACTCGGCAACGGCAGCAGAATGCGTCACCTATTTTCGTGTACAATGTTTGATCTATAAATAAGTCCAGAAAAACACGTTGTATGGATACCAGGTGGTATAATTAACTTCTCTTAGTATTTATCTTTAATATCAATTCATTATAACTAGTGACAATTCCTTCAAAGAACCACGATCTTAAAAAAAAATAGTGACTGACAAAATAAGATACGTAGCGTGATTTATTGCTAAAAGTCACTGAAACAACATAAGAATATGGTCCACTTTGTGTTCCATAGAAATTTTCTGCTGACACGGAATCCGCTAGTTGATCACGTGACTTCATTTGTTGGACTATATTCTAGCAGACGACACTTAGAATTCCGAATACCGCTTGGGAATATAAGGAAATTCGGCCAATAAAAAATGGTGACATTTGGTAATAAGTGAAATCCGCCATTTTGTATTTGTCAAAGTATACATTAATACATTTTACCTGGCTTGAAACTACTGAATTCATTCTACTAGCTGATATTGTATTGAAAACCCGTGTTTATTAAAACAAACTAATGCGGAGGTCGCGCAAGGTCGCTCATGTATATTATTAATCCTTTCCGGAAATCCACGAATAATAGGTTTCCACGAATTTAAATTACTTGACTGTATAAGTAGCAATGAGAGATCTTACTAGTATTACAGCTATCACCATACCATCTTATCTGACAACCATTAGGACATTGACCAGTTATAACATCACATTTATCATAGTTAGAACAATGACAGAAATTATTACATTCTGAGCCATACGTTCCTAGAGCACAAACTAATTAAAAAAATACAATACTTTACTTGTGACCAAACTGTAACAGAGAGAGACAGTACGTTTCTAGAGAACAAACTGTAATAGAGAGAGACAGTACGTTCCTTGAGAACAAACTGTAATACAGAGAGACAGTACGTTCCTTGAGAACAAATTGTAATAGAGAGAGACAGTACGTTCCTTGAGAACAAACTGAAATAGAGAGAGAGACAGAACGTTCCCTGTGAACAAACTGTAATGGAGGGAGACAGTACGTTCCTTTGAACAAACTGTAATACAGAACGACAGTACGTTCCATGAGAACAAACTGTAATACAGAACGACAGTACGTTCCATGAGAACAAACTGTAA